ACCTAAAGCACTCGTGAGCTGAAATGGACTGGTATTGCCATCTTCAACTTGACAATCATATGGTTTACCATACCAGAAATGACAAATTCCAGAGGAATGGCATCATATTCATCATCAAAAAGAATATTTCATGATCTATCTTGAAGTATAACACTGTCTGTGATGGGATAATATACATACACCTACAAGGAAGATCACACATAATACCACTATTATTCAAATTTATGCACCAACCCCTAAAGCCAGTGGTGGTGAAATTGAAGAATTCTACCAACTTCTTCAGTCTTAAGTTGATCAAACATGTAATCAAGATGTGTTGATAATTACTGGTGATTGGAATGCTAAGGTTGGAAACAAAGAGGAAGGATCATGGAAAACATGGCCCTAGTGATAGAAATGACGCTGGAGATTACATGATAGAATTTTGCAAGACAAATGACTTATTTGTTGCAAATATCTTTTAAAAACAACATAAAAGGTGACTATATACATGGACCTCACCAGATGGAATACACAAGCACAATTTATGGGAAGAGATGGTGGGAAAGCTCAGTATCCTCAGCCCAAACAAGGCCAGGGGCAGATTGTGGAATAGTCCATCAGTTGCTCATTTGTAAATTCAAACTGAAGCTGAAGAAAATTGAAAGAAGCTCACAAGAATGAAAATATGACCTTGAACATATCCCACCTGAATTTAGAAATCATCTCAAGAATAGATTTGATGCCTTAGAAAGTAATGACCAAAGACCAGAAGAGTTGTGGGATGACATCAAGAAAATCATACAGGAAGAAAGCAAAAGGTCATTAAGACAGGAAATGAAGAAAAGACCAAAATGTTAGAAGAGACTACTAAATTTGCTCTCAGGTATACAGATGCTAAAGCAGCTGAAAGAACTGAGGAAGTAAAAGAGCTGAACAGAAAATTTCAAAGAGCAACTCAAGAAGACAAAGTCAAGTATTATAATGCAAAATCTGGAGTTAGAAAGCTAAAAGGGAAGAGCACACTTAGCATTTCAAAAGCTGAAAGAACTGAAGAAAACATTCAAGCCTCAACTTAAATTATTGAAGGATTCTATTACCAAAATGAAAAAATTGAAGTTGTCAAGGACTTCATTCTTCTTGGATCAACTATCAACACTCATGGAAGCAGCAGGCAAGAAATCAAATATTGCATTAGGCAAATCTGCTGCACAAGACCTCTTTAAAGTGTTGAAGAGCAAAGATGTCAGCTAGAAGACTAAGGTGCGCCTGTTCCAAGCCATGGTATTTTCAGTAACCTCATATGCATGTGAAAGCAGGACAGTAAATAAGGAAGACCATAGAAGAATTGATGCATTTGAGTTAATGGTGTTGGAGGAGAATACTGAAAGTGCCATGGGCTGCTAAAAGAACCAACAGATCTGTGTTAGAAGAATTGCAGCCTGAGTGCTCCTTGGAGGCCAAGATTGCCAAACTTTGTCTCTCATACTTCAGACATATTGTCAGGAGGGACCAGTCGCCTGAGAAGGATATCATGTTTGGTAAGGTGGAGGGTCAGAGAAAAAGAGGAAGACCCCCAATGATTGCCCAAGTAGCAACATCGATGGATTCAAGCGTGGCAACAATAGTGATGTTGACCCAGGATCAGGCAGTGTTTCGTTCTGCTGTGCATAAGGTCGCTATGAGTTGGTACCAACTCCATGACACCTAACAACAACAGCAACATTTCCAAAATGGGAATCCAAGTGTGGCGCTGTGGGATAATGTGCTGGATTCCAGGTCAGTTTGAACCTCAAGGTCAGTGGTTCAAACTCACCAGCTGCTCCTCGGAAACCCTATAAGGGTCACTATGAGTCAGAACCGACTCAACAGCACTTAACAACAACAACATTGACAAAATGTGGAATAATTCAGAAAACTTCAAAAGAAGAAGGATGGAATACATAGAATCACTATATCAAAAAGAAAAAGTTGATGTTCAACCATTTCAAGAGGTAACATAAGTCAAGAACCAATGGTTCTGAAAGAAGTATGAAAGCAAGGACTCAGGAATTGATGGAATACAACTTGAAATATTTCAACAAACTAATGCACTCTCACTTATGCCAAGAAATATGAAAAATAGCTACCTGGCCAACTGATTGGAGGAAGAGACCCATATTTGTGCCCATTCCAAAGAGAGGTGACTCAACTGAATGCAGAAATCATCAAACAATAAATATCATTAATATCACACATGTAAAATTTTGCTGAAGATAATTCATAAATGGCTGCAATAATAGTACATTATTGGATTCAAGCCCAATACAGAAGAGGATGTGAAACTACGGATATCATTGCTGATCTCAGATGGATATTGGTTGAAAGCAGAGAATACCAGAAAGAGGTTTACCTGTGCTTTATTGAGTATGCAAAGGCTTTTGATTGCGTGGCTCATGACAGGCTATGGATAACATTGCGAAATATGCGTATTTCTCAACACTTAATTGTGCTCATGAAGGATCTGTACATGGATCAAAAGGCAGTTGTTCAAACAGAGCATGGGAACACTGAATGCTTTAAAATTAAGAAAGGTGTGCGATAGGGTTGTATTCTTTCACCATACTTATTCAGCCGGTATGCTGAGCAAATAATCTGAGAAGCTGGGTTCTATGAAGAAAAACGTGGCATCAGGATTGGAGGAAGACTCATTAACAACCTG